TGGTTTTCAGTTCTCGACTTAAAATCAGGCTTTTATCAAATTGAGATGGAAGAGGCTGATAAATCAAAGACTGCATTCGTCTGTCCTTTAGGATTCTATGAGTTCAACAGAATGCCTCAAGGAGTCACTAATGCACCAAGTACATTTCAGAGGCTGATGGAGCGATGCATGGGTGATCTTAACAGAAAAGACGTCCTAGTTTTCATAGACGACCTTATTGTCTTTTCCAAGACATTAGAAGAGCACAAAGCCAAACTCTTGCAAGTCCTGACACGACTAAAAGAATACGGATTAAAGCTTTCTCCCAAGAAGTGCAAGTTTTTCCAAACATCAGTCCAGTACTTAGGCCACATAGTCTCTCAGAATGGTGTTGAAACAGATCCAACCAAAATTGAAGCTCTCAAAACCTGGCCAAGACCTAAAAACCTTAAAGAACTGAAATCTTTTCTTGGATTTGCAGGATACTACAGAAGGTTCGTTCAAGACTTCTCAAAAATCACAAGACCCCTTAACGACCTTACTATTGGATATCCCCCACTGCAGAAAAATCAGAAACGAAACCCCCCAAAAAGTACACCTTACCTGGATCCTAAAGAACAGTTTGGAGAGCGATGGAACCAGGATTGTCAGGGGGCATTTAATACAATCATAGAGAAGCTGACCTCTGCTCCAGTCCTCGGATACGCAGATCCTAGACTCCCCTATGTGTTGACCACTGATGCCAGCACTGTTGGACTTGGAGCAGCTCTTTATCAAGAGCAGGAAGGTCGAATGAGGGTGATTGCTTTTGCAAGTAGGGGACTAACTAAAAGTGAAGCAAAGTACCCCGCTCACAAATTAGAATTCCTTGCACTCAAGTGGGCAGTCACAGCCAAATTCAGTGACTATCTTTATGGAGGAGAGTTCACTGTGATTACAGACAGCAACCCACTCACCTACATATTAACATCTGCAAAACTCGATGCAACCAGTTACAGATGGCTGTCCAGCCTGTCAACATTCAATTTTAAGATCCAGTATCGTGCAGGCAAAAGAAATCTAGATGCAGATGGACTCTCAAGACGGCCCCATGATGAACAGATTGATGATTTCGCCTCTCAGAAAGAACGTGAAAGAATCAAACAATTCACTCTCCATCACTTAGCTGAGACAGAACAACAAGTTATCTTGCCCGATGCAGTAAAAGCCCTCTGTGAACGACACCAAGTATATCAGAGCTGTGGTGATTCTAACCTACCGTATTCTCAACTTACTGTGGTAGAATCACTGTCCCAAAGTGTTGATGCAGTACCCCAAGAATTCCAGCAGGAGGCAGGAGGCCTTCCAGTTCTTCCCCAAATGTCAGAGGAAGAGTTAAAAGAATGTCAAAGAACTGATCCAGTGCTTGAAAAAGTAATTAGGCACCTTAATTCTGGAAAGAAACCTCATGGGAAAGTAGAGCCTGCAGAAGTAGCTTTGTGGCTAAGAGAGTGGGACCGCTTTGAGTTCAAGAATGGAATCTTATTTAGAAAGAGACAGGACCCAAGAGGCGTATTGTATCAGTTGGCCTTGCCCAAAAAGCTCAGAGGAAATGTATTAAAAAATCTGCACAATGACATGGGGCATCTCGGAATTGAAAGGACTTTGGACCTGGCTAGAGCCCGTTTTTACTGGCCAAAAATGGCAATAACTGTGGAAGAGAAAGTAAAGACCTGTGAGCGATGTGTAAAACGAAAGACCCCTCCTGAGCGGGCTGCACCCCTGGTGAATATCACAACCAGCAGACCCCTTGAACTAGTCTGCATAGACTACTTGTCACTAGAGCCTGATCGAAGCAACACTAAAGACATCCTTGTAATTACTGATCATTTCACCAAGTATGCTGTTGCAGTGCCTACTAGAAACCAGAAAGCTGAAACTGTGGCCAAATGCTTATGGGACAACTTTTTCATCCATTACGGGTTTCCTGAAAGAATTCTGAGTGATCAGGGGCCCGACTTTGAGTCAAGAATAATCAAAGAACTGTGTGGCATAGCAGGAATACAAAAAGTAAGAACTACGCCTTACCATCCCAGAGGCAACCCTGTAGAACGTTTCAACAGAACATTGCTCCAAATGTTAGGGACCCTGGAGGACAAACAAAAGACCTATTGGAAAGACTTTGTTAAACCATTAGTCCATGCTTACAATTGCACTCGTAATGACACAACAGGATTCTCACCTTACGAGCTGATGTTTGGGAGACAGCCTCGGCTGCCAGTAGACATAGCATTTGGTTTACCTGCTACTGGGTCATCCCCATCTCATTCCATTTATGTGAGAAATCTGAAAGATCGCTTAGAGGAAAGCTATAGAATAGCTACTGAGAATGCCTCAAAATTAGCAAGAAGGAACAAGAAACGATTTGATGAGCGAGTAGTCACCTCATTCCTTGAGGTTGGAGATCGTGTTCTAGTACGGAATGTCAAGCTAAGAGGAAAGCATAAATTGGCTGATAAGTGGGAGAAAGAGATCTATGTTGTGTTAAAGAAGGCGGGAGACTTACCTGTTTATACTGTTAGTCCAGAAGGCAGGGATGGCCCACTTCGCACACTGCATCGAGACTTGCTGCTGCCCTGTGGATTCTTACAAGAAAGCATGCCTGAGCCAGTAAAACCTAAACCACCCCGCAGACCTAGAACTCGAGCAAACACCAGTGCAAGAGAACCTGATACTATGACTGAGAGTTCTGACTCTGAGGATGATTCAATGGATCACTACTCACGTAGACACTTACCAAAAGTAGAGAGCAGAATCCTCTTCAATCCAAGACATGTTAAGCCTTCAAGAGACAGGCCGATTGCAGAACTTTCTAGTAAAACAAGAGTCGTGAAAAGTAAAATCAATGACTGTCCTGCAATAGAGATACCACAAGAGAACTTACCTTACTTACCTGAAGATGAAAACTGTCCCATGAGTGAACCTGAAAGAGAGAACACACCTGTAATGGATTCTGTTAGACCAGATATGTTAAGAAACGTACCTGTAGTAAATGATCAAGAACTATCGGAACAGAGAGATGAACTGGAAATATTGAGTGAAATAGATGATGAAGCTGATCAGAGAAATATTCACAGTGGCCAGGCAGTGATCGACCAGGTTGAAAGAAATACATTGAGACGTTCGCAAAGACACCGTGAGCCACCACAAAGGCTACAGTACTCTCAATTAGGGAATCCTCTTTCTCTGGTTATACAATCCTTACTACAAGGTCTCAGTACAGCAGTCACTGCATCTTTAGAGGAGTCTGATTGCCCCAGAGAAGCCTCTCTTTTAATGCAGAAAATGTTCCCTTCTGCTGCCGTTACGCAGCCTAAAAGATGCAGAGGGACCTGCATAGATTCCAGGCGGGGAGAATGTAACCCGGATAACCCAGGTTACTAGTTGTTAGTACACAGCAATAGAAAAAATAGAAATACCCTTATAAATATGAGAAAAAACACTGGCAGAATACTCGATTAAATAATATACATTAAAATTATTTATTTATATAAATAATTTATAAAAGAGTATTATACAGCATTCAAGGGAGTAGTGTTTTAGAATGACATCATCGTGCCTTACACTTTAGCAGCAGATCAGCTTTCCAAACAATAACAAATCTCGCTTGTCTGTTAGTTTGTGTTTACTGTTGCTATGGTGATTCAGTGTTTGCAAGGGAGTGAGAGAAGATTGAGAGAAAAAGCGTCATTTGTATATGAGAGTGAAATCTGCACACGAGTGCCACCTGGAGTTTTCCTGGGTTTTCGCTTTGATTTTGAGTGATTTCCTTGGCTGGGTTTTTTGTGTGTGTCGAAGCATCTGTGATGAGTCCCTAATTCACGTTGGACTCGAGGAGAAACTTACGGCGAGCCACCCACGGAACCGACTCTCCTGTTAGACTGTGTGTTTGTGCCACCGGACTGGTAGGAGAGTTATTTTGATTGTTTGGAGAAACGAGACTCGGACTCATCGCGACCTTCCGCTTTTCCTTCTTACTTTTCCTAAAATCCTCAACGGAAAACCTTTACTGGAACTGAGCTAAGAGAATCAACAGTTCTCTTTCACGAAATCCTTGGTATTGAACTGTGAACGGCAACCGGTGGAACGAATCATCTGAAAGCGAAACAAATCCTTTGGACAGCAAAACGAATCTTTTGAGTAGCGAACGATTCATTTGAACAGAGTTTTGATTCTTTGAACAGTGAGGTGATTCATTCTAACAGAGTAGCGATCTCTTGAACAGGGAGGTGATTCATTTGAACCGTGTATTGATTCTTTAAACAGAGAGGTGATTTATTTGAGCACATTAATGATTTATTGAGTTAAAAGTGTGAATATTGAATTATAGCCTGCATTTGAGTAGAGTTGGTATATTTATTATTGATTTATTTCTTTATTTTCTTTTATTTATTATATTTGAGAATACAGAGTATTTTTTATCACAAATTTATTGCCTTCTTTACTTTGTTTTATACAAAGGGTAACACAGTGTTGTAGCTTTCTAAGATTTTTATTTTCATTTTGTACAAGTGTTTGAAATTTCTCAACTGTCTTGATCACAACTTTGTTTTAACTGTATATTGACTTCACGTTCATCTGTGTAAAGAAAAAAAGAGAAAATTATTTACTTTTTATTATTATAATTTATAATCGAACCTATATATACATAAATACTTATGCTTATTGGACAGAAATTCACAAACTCATAACATATTTCTAATTATATAAACTATATTGAAGGAAAAAACTGACTGTGTCTGATTATTCACTCACCTGCTGTGCTGCTTTTCTCTCTCCAGTAGCCGTTCTTTCTCTTCTGACCAATTGGCCCACATTGAAAGATACGCTATCGCGACAAATCAATCGTACTTGCTACATGTGCTCCCAATCAGCAAAGGTTGTCATAACTATATAGTGTAACTTTGAATTAAACCTCTAAACAGAATAGAGATAAACCCAAATTATTATTAAGGGTCCTTTTTGTTTTTATTCTTTTAAAGGAATGCTGGTAGTCAATGTTACTTGGCGGAACAAAACATATGTCGGAACACTGTTGGATTGTACCCGTCATGACTGGGCTCCTCCAAGGTATGTAAAATGTTTTGAGTTCTTGTTTCTGATTGTCAGTATTCCTCCTTTCCTCCCACACCACTCTCTCATACTCCCTCTGGAATAGCAGTAAACCAGGTGCAACTCAACATAACCGTTACACACGAGGTACAGAATTAAAAAGAGACACCATCAGGTGATAAGTCTAGAATGAATTGATTTATAATTAGAATATTCAGATTTATTTATTTGTTGTTGATTAGTGACCTTATATTATTCACAATAATGTATTAGTGCAGGGGTGGCCAATCCTGTTCCTGGAGATCTACCTTCCTGCAGATTTCAGTTGCTACCCATATCAAACACACCTGAACCAATTAATTAGGACCTGAACACCTCGTGATAATTACAGGCAGGTGTGTTTGATATGGGTTGCAACTGAAATCTGCAGGAAGGTGGCTCTCCAGGAACAGGGTTGGCCACCCCTGTATTAGTGGAATTAAATGTTAAAATGTTAGTAGTTCTGTATTGGCTTTGTAGTTAGTAGTTTCCGATATCAGTAACAAATCTGCACTTACTGTTAGTTATTTCACAGTTTAGACTAACTAAAAATGTTCTTTACATATTACAGTCTAATATATTTACACAAATTACATTTATCTTCCTTATTTTCCATTAAGGTTTTGTGAATCTCCCACAAGTGACCTAGAAATGAGAAATGGACGTGGCCGTGGTAAAAGAATGCGACCCAATAGCAACACCCCAGTCAACGAGAACAGCAACTCGTCTGATAACAAGGGCAGCAACAACAGCAAGACAAGAGCAAGTTCCAACAGCAAGGGTCGGCGTGGAAGCCAAAACTCCTCTGAGCGCAGAACTCCACCCAACAGCAACACAGAAGACATAAAAGCCAGTCCATCCTCAGCCAGTAAGCGCAAAAGCAAGCCTGCATCAGACATGGAGCCCAACTCCAGCTCAGAGGATTCTAAAGGCAACAAACGTATGCGCACAAATTCAAATGGTGGAATGACCTCCTCTGCACTCCCAATTCCCATCATCAAAACGGAGTCCCTTCCTCCTCCTTTAGACCGTACCTGTCCCTCACCAGTACTGATTGATTGCCCACATCCTAACTGTAACAAGAAGTACAAGCACATCAATGGGCTGAAGTATCATCAAGCTCGTGCTCATAATGATGACGATGTTAAGTTGGACATGGATGGAGACAGTGAATATGGGGAAGAATCTTCTCTCCACCCTGAGCCAGGAAGTTGCAATGGAGCTTCGATTACGCAGAAAGGCTCTCTTTCCCCAGCAAGATCTGTCACACCTAAAGGAAGAGGATTTGATGCTCAAAGTCCATCTCCTTCTCCTGGAAAGTTTGGCTCCAAGTCAAAGAAAAAGAATGGTGACACTGAAGCAGACGTTTGCAGCACATCCATGGAAGTTTGTGAGGACGGACCTTGTGTCACTGCGGATGAGGCTAGCAATGATGGAATGGAGGACAGAAAGTCCAAAAAGCCAAACAGCAATGTGAAGTCTGAGAAGATGTCCCAGAAGAACATGAAATCCTCCAGGAACATGGCTCCATCAATCCCTTCTCAGCAGATGTACTCTCTACAGCCAACATCATTCAGTGGTGGAAGCCCCAACCACCCTCCTGTTATGGCCAATATGCTGCAAGGCATACCCAAGAGTCCCCAACTGAAAGGCATACAGTCAAAGTTAGGTGCACCAGGGGACTCATCGCCAATTAATCCAGCTTTGAGCAGCTCCAAGGATAAAAAGAAAAAGGACAAGAAAAAGAAAGATTTGGCCAAGGATGCAGACAGTCCTAAGCTCCCAGGGAAAAGTGGGAAAACTGAAGAGGGGAAAAGTCCATACTCTGAGTCCTCTGACCCAGGAAACAGGAGTGAGGGTCATCTCAATGGCTCCTCAGACCCTCATCAAAGCCGCCTTGCTAGCATGAAAGCAGAGGCAGATAAAATATACAGTTTCACAGATAATGCTCCCAGTCCATCTATTGGGGTAGCCAGTCGTGTGGATAGCAGTGGACAGCCTCTCACTCCCCTGCATGTTGTCACCCAGAATGGGGCTGATAGCTCCTCTGTGAAAACAAACAGCCCTGCATACTCTGACATATCTGATGCCGGAGAGGATGGTGAAGGCAAGGTAGAAGGAGTCAAAGTCAAGACAGAAGATCAGTCAAGCAGGGACGGTGCCAAGAAAGCACTCTTTCCCTCTCAGGCATCCTCTAAGGAATCTTCATATTATCCTGGCTATGACAACTACTACTCTCCCAGTTACTCTCACCCTAGCCCCGGTGGTGCCACTGCAGGTGGACCTCTACCGGATGGGCAAGCTGTGAAACTAAAGAAGGAAGAGGAGCAAGAATTGGTGGAGGAGAAGGTGAAAGTGGACATGCAGGATGAGCGCAAAGCTGAGGTTGCCTCAAGTCAGCCGCACCAACAGCAGCAAGCCTCTGTCATTCAGCAACGATCCAATATGTACATGCAGCCACTTTACTACAACCAGTACTACGTTCCCCAATATGGATACCCTGACCAGGTTTATCATAACCACCTCATGAACACTAATCCAACCTACAGGCAGCAGTATGAGGAAAGGCAGAGACTTATGGCTGAGCAGCATAGGTCTGCTGAAAAGAAGCCAGATTCAGGTTTAAAGGACAGGGAATCCTCTCTAAAGGAGGACTGGAAACAGAAGGGGCCTGTTCCTCCAGGCCTAACAAAAGCCCCCAGCCTTTCAGACCTAGGAAAGCCACAGGCCCCTGGCAAACAGAGAGACACTTCCTCTGAAGCTGCCAAGTCAGTCATCATCCCTAAAGGGGAGGAGACCAAGCTGCAGCCACAGCAGGCCGAGGGGCTTAAAATGAAGCTCAGTGAAGCTGGCCATCATGGAAAGGATGACTCAAAGGCAAGTGTGGAGTCTGCCAGGCTGGGTATGGAGCAAGCCATGTGGTATAGACAGGTGAGGCAAATATTTGATTCTTAAGGTAAAAGCCTGTACAGTTAACATGCTGGAGGGATAATTCACTCACAAATGAAAAATTACTCATTTTTACAGACCTTCATGTTGTAATGGAGGGTGTTCAAAAGGACCAAAACAAGTGCACTTAAAGTCTTATTTATAATGCAAGACTCATTGGTCTTTGTGTGTTATTGTGACCATTTAAATTAAATGAAAGATCACATATTTCAGAGTTTTAAACTGATTTATCATCTCTCGAAATCAGTTTTATCATCTCTGTTACTTCTTTGTTTCAGTACCCTGACAGTCAGAGACCACCAGATGACGACCGAGATCGGGAACGGGAGCGGGACAGAAAAGGCAAAGAGGAGAGGTCTAGGCAGAAAGACAGTAGCTCCAAAGAAGATAATAAAGATGTAGTTGATGTTTCGTGTCCTCCGAGCATTGAGGACCAGCGAAGTGGAGGGAAAGATCCCCGGCCCAATCCCCACATACCTTTCGGCTCCCCTTTGGCACAGCACCAACCCTACCTGCATTACATGCATGGATATCCTTTTGGGCAAAGCTATGATCCCAACCATCCTGGATACAGAGGCATGTCCTCCATGATGAACTATCCGGGTAAGACAAACAACAATCTCTAAATGGTGACTTGTATCAATGAAAATGAACATTGTTTACCTGTTCCTGAACTTCATGCTTTTTATTATTGGTGTATGGTTTGGCCAGTAACATACTGTATGCAAGTACAAAATTTGGATTGCTTGGAAGACACATTTTGAGTATGCAGTCTCAACCTCTGTACTCAAGATGTCAGTAAAGTTACTTTAAAGTATGAGTGCTGTTAAGCCTAAAGTATTATTATTTAGGTTACTAACAACAGTTTCACCTCTCATAGTTGACCCAATGCCCACTATATTGCCCCTTGTGGCAAATTGAGAGTACAACACATATTTGCATTTCGTAAAACATTTTTAACATATTTTGGAACAATGAAATGCAAAATCAACTTGATTAAGTGAAAGCGTTGGCATTCCTGCAACCTGCATAAAGTATGTTTGGGGCCTTAATGTGCATTTTAAGTGCATAATGGCAGTAGAAACACACTATGGTCTCCTTATCTTTAGGGTCCTATCTGCCAGCGGGATACCCTTTTTCGCCTTATGGCAGTAAAATGATCAGTGGAGAAGAGGGAGAGAAATCTCGCTCAAGCCCCACAGTCAGCAGCAAGTCGGCTTCAGAGTCCAAAGCACTGGACATATTACACCAACACGCCAATCAGTACAAGAGCAAATCGCCCACCGTTGCTGACAAGCCCTCCCATGAAAGGGAGCGAGGACTAGGTGACCGAGAGCGGGAAAGAGAAAGAGATCGAGAGAGGGAGCGAGAAATCGATAGACCTCGATCATCTCCCTCCCAACGCATAATGGCACCCCACCACCACCTAGGCTATCCCCTTGTAGCCGGGCAGTACGATCTGTCTTATGCCACAGGTCAGCAGTTTAGTACTCTTTCACAGTTACTTCAAATGAAAAGATTAGCACTGAGCTAAACTTACAATCTGTTGGACAACAGTATCTATGATTAAATGAATTGTTATATATTTTTAATGGTATAGAATATGTTTATGTAGGTGTATAGTGTATTTTGGCCTTGTGTTAAAAGGATTTTTTTTTCATAAGGTTTTTTTTAATTAGGCTCATTTTAAAACTCACCTCGAGTTAAACAGTTGAGTTTAACCCTTTTTTGATCTATTCATCTGATCTCCGGATCTGGTGAGGACACTTTTAGCTATAGCATAGATCTTTACACCAAAATGAGTTCCTAAACATATTGGCCTACAAAATGACAACTTTTCAATTTCTTTAGTCTAAGTAAATGATGCAACTACAAAAGTGTCAAGCTTTAAATAGAAATTTTTTTTAAACTTAAGACATTTTTGTGTGCTAACTGTCTAATCTTATTTAATGATTTATGCTAAGCTAAGCTAAGCTAAAAGTGCTTCTACCAGACCTGAAGATCAACTGAATGGATTTAAAAAGAGTTAAAGTCAACTGTTTAATTCTAGGGCACTTCGAAAGAGGTGTTCTTTTAATAATGGTGTTAATAGAAGTTCTGTATCACACTGATGAAATGTATTTAAAATATATTCAGTAAGGAGATGGCTAATGTTAACCATGCATTTCTTAATGAAATTTAAATGCTTCATCTGAAGTGTTTAGGGTGGGAAAAAAAGCAACAAATTATTGCTGCTATAAAACTATGTCAATTCCACAAGGAAACGCTGAGAGTAAACAACATCTTTACCGAATGTTCCCTTAATTGCAGGCCTTTCATCGTCAGCGATTGTTGCCAGTCAGCAAGCCTCAGCCCCTTCCCTGTACCCACCAGCACGGAGGTGAGAATGGTAAGACAAACAAAGATCAAGCAATGTCATAAAGAGGGTTGAATTGTGGTCAAACAAAGAGTACATTACACAAATTGCTGTAAATGATAGCATCGGTGTGTCCCCATTTCAGCATATAATGTGTAACTTAAAAGCTTTTTGTTGTTCCATTTGCTCTGAGGCCTTGCAGTTTAAAGATTCTGTAGACCTCAGGCTGTTTTAGGGGATTATGACTGGTATGAACTCCTAGATTAAGGCTAGTGTTTTGAGGACAGTAGTTCTTTCCAGGATCGTTTTGGCAAATGAGGCCTATACTGACCTCTGGTGGACAAACTTTGTATAGCATTAAGAAGACGGAGATTTCTCTGTTAAAGTCAGGGGTGTCCAAACTCAGTCCTGGAGGGCCAGTGTCCTGCACAGTTTAGCTCCAACTTCCTTCAACACACCTACCTGGAAGAATAACACTTAGAAAGAACTTGATTAGCCTTTTCAAGTGCGAAGTGCAAATATGCAGGGCACCAGCCCTCCAGGACCAAGTTTGGGCACCACTGGGTTAAGGCATGGTCATAATAAATATAGCACAATAGCTATAAAATAATAAATACATTTATTAATTTAAATAAATCATTTTTAATTAAATAAAATAAATTAATAGATATGTTTATTTAAATTAAATAAATGTTTACTTAATATTTTTTAAATAATTATTAACTTGATTTATTATTAATCATATACAATTGTCACTCTATAAATTAAATTATAATTCTTAACTGTAAAGATGCCTTTCGTAGATGAGAATGGGGCATAAGGTATCTATATTTGAAGATGTGTGGCATCTAAAATGTATGAACACCCCTTCTCTAACCAGTTGTTTCTTGTGTTTTCTTTCTGCCTTTAGGGAAACCTGATTGTCTCGCCGTTCTTTACAAATAATCATGTGACTGGATCACATGGGGAAGTATATGGAGCTCATTTAGACATCAGTTGAATGGTGTTTCTATATTTTTAGTTCTTCTGCCGGAATGTGTGGCAGATTGATGTTTTCCTAGTATCTGTACCTCGTACCCCACTATAGACTGTGAGACCAGGTTCAAAGCCATCCCGCCCTGCTCAAAGCCCAGCTGGCCACTGAACTAAGCCTGTGAACCGGTGCGAAATGATCGAAAAAGCAAAGGACTTGTCATTCCGCTCACCCGACACAGGATGGAGGCCAGACAAGAGGCAAGGACTCGAGGGGACACATAAGAACACAAAGACTGAAAATAGTTTTATCACACTGAGATAACTAAAGTTGTTTCCCTTTTTTTATTTTAGTCGGCATCCTCACTTGAAAACCAATCAAACGACAACAGCAACAAAAAGATTTTTGAATTGTACTCCACAAGTGAAAGCTGCGGATAATAATCTAGCATTGTCTCATATCTCCGTCTTTCTGCCAGTGGTTCCTAAACGGTTCTCACTGCCACATGCCTCAAGACTGCTATTTTTTCCTTTTATATGACTCCTTTCTCTAGCATCATTGGTTCCGTGTAGCAAAAAACGATCAATCGTACATTCGATAAGTTATAGCACTCAGCTTAAGATGCATACTAAGTTTTCCTAACGCTAAGCCACACCATCAAACTAGCATATCGAAGAAATCATCCTGTATCAGTTTAAAAAATTTCACGACTGCTTTCAGCGAGACATTTCATATTGCGAAATCTAATTTTAGCAAGCACTGTGTTGCCAGTTTTTCTCCAAAACATCACTGGCGGAGGTCCGTTTACTCCAGGGAACCTTTCTCCGATTTTACTTGGTTATCCTTCAACTCGAATCCAAACATCCTCCTGACCTCATCACTAACAGAATTTCCCATTTATTACTATGGTTCTTGAAAAAAAAAAGTGGATGTTCGTTAACGTGGCAAGGTATAGTAAGTTGTTTTAGCCAGACGCTTACGTGGTGGCCGTTCTGCTACAGCGGTTATGGGGTGCGTGACACCAGAGGCCCAGTAGTTTTGTTCTAATTGTTCTGAAGTTCTTGCATGGGGCCGCTCTATCCCTGAACACTTATCGTGAAAGTGTCGTGATAATCTCCAGCGTGTTTTTCTGAAACCAAGTGAGCGTTTGACCCCCGAAACATGCTTTTATAGCCCATCATGCTCTGTGTATTTCACGTGTCGTTCAGCATGGTGTATACTATAGCACTAGAAATGTGACTTTGAACAGTGTCTCCTCAGGCAACGCAAACTTCGGGTTTGCACCAAACGCTGTCGATATTCTTGGTTGCGCACACTATGTGATGTCTGTATATGATGTACAGAAGGGACTGTTTTAAACTGCAATCAAGAAACCATCCGATTACGTAGATGTTTTGTTTGGGAATCTGTCACTAGGGTGTTTTTTTTTTTTCTTCTTCTCCTCCATAGCTTTTGATTGGCTTGCTGTTACAATGCTTGCTGTTTTTTTTTTTAAACATTCGATATGTCTGTGAAACTTTTCGAAGAGTCTCTCAATCCAAAACTGGTTGCAGCTCTCAGTGGATCTCAGGCAGTTTGCTTTCTGCTGAAAATGCTGTTTTTTTTGGGTCATGTTTTCACACTAAGTGATTCAAGCTGGTGGATTTTAACAGGCTCTGTTGGAACGAGAAGGACAGACAGGTGTTCGGGGGATTACGTTGACTCATCCGCTCCCTCTCATGCCTAAAGTCGCAACAAAAAACGCAAACTACAGGAGTGAAGCACTATGGTACACCGAATACTGAGAGAAAGAGGGTTTTTACATTACACGTCTGAATTCATCGGTATGCCATTTGATTTTAGGGCTCGTGGGGATGCTCAGACAACTCTTTGGAACACATCATGGTTTTTTATTTGTAAGTTATGAAAGATTTTCAGTAAAGGTCGTGAAAGTTGTCTGTGCGTTTAGTTTTAAATGGTGCTCCGTCAACACACTTTGATTTGATTTGGAAAGAGGATGCAGTGCACTCTTGCATGCTTTTGCGTCATTTTCACTACAGACTACCAACCCTTTCCTGTCGCGCTTCATCCCAAGCGTCTCTCGAAAGACAATTTATTATCACCAAGTGTCAGGCCCTGGTACTTAAAGAATGTTTACATTTTTTTTAATGGCTTTGTTTGGAATATTTTTGGCTGTATCACCCAATTCCTCCTGTTCTTTCTCGGACTGTTCTCTTATGTAAAGTGTACATTACCACGTTTCTTTTTTTTATACAATACTGTAACTTGCCTTTGTACATTTAGGCAAAAAAAAATAAATCTTTTTATGAGACAATCACATCTTTCCTTGCTTCGCTCTGTTTGTTTCCATTTTAGTCATCTGTTGTCTTTTTAAAGGGATAGTTCACCCAGAAATGTAAATTCTCTGATCTTTTACTCATTCTTCATTTGTTCCAAACCTGTTTGAGTTTGTGGTAACACTTTATTTTAATTGTGCCTATTGCACATTATGTTGACTACATGCTAATTACTTCTCATTTAAGTATTAGTAGACTGTCTACATAATATGATACTGCTCCTTCAACAGACATTTATCTGACTCTAGGAAACTTTGCAAGTACATTTTAACTTACACTAAAGGCTAGTTTATATTTCTGTGTCAAGCCCGCGCATGTTGTTTTGGCGCAGCCTTCACGCGGTCGCAGAGCCCTCAATATAGCTGACGCCAACGATAAATCGCACATTTCAAAAAACTATGTGTCGGAACGACGCATAGCACAAGCTCTGTGATTGGTCAGCTTGGTAGCTGTGCTTAGTGTGGGCAGTGCTGAGAGTCGTGAGCCCAATGGAGCGAGTGCTTACAAGTGTCGAGTCTGTGAAGGAGCTCCAGATGTTTTGTATTTACCTTATTAGCGCCAGACAGAATCTGCGGACAGATTTTTGCGCAGAATATTGTAAAATATGTGGATTTGGTCTGAATGATTTTGGGTGTATTGTAACTAAAAACTTTATGTTGAATAAAAGATGATACATTTAACTTTTATTTAATGTTTGCAATACAAATCCTATTAGATCCATTTATTTGGCAAATAAAGCAAGTCTCCCATGTAATAAATCTCTATATACTGTATCTACTAAGACACAGAATTGTTTCTTTACTAACTGTATTGTAAGTAAATCGTATGAACATTTTTATATTAGTCAGTAATATTCCTGAAATTAGTTTAAAAGCTAAATAAATATAAATTTACACACAACTGAATAAATAGACTCAATGATGGGCTGAAAGTCTGCAGCTGTCTGCGTGCACAGTTTCCGTGTGGGCCTACTTACTGTACGATTGAAGTTGTTGCACATCTACCGGTTCTCACCAATGTTGCCAACTATTTTCAATGAAAAGACGCTAAGCTCTGCCTGGAACGTCACTAAATATCACCAGATTGTCAAACGTCAATTAGCATATTACACTTTATTTATGCATGTCAGCAGGGCTTAATTTATGCTGGAACACATCGGATCTGGATCCGGCACCTAATTTTACCGATCCCCCTCCTCAACCCACTTCACTGTCGTCCACCACACCCCCCACCCAGCCCGCTCCCCACTTTCGTGCGCCATCCTCGGGTATGCCGGATCCCTTACCTTAATCTGTTCCAGGACCTCGCAATTCACAAATTAAGCACTGCATGTCAGTTTAACTACATTTATTGCTTTTTGAATACAGTAAATCCGTATAGATGTGTAGTGGATTTGCAGTAATCTCTCAGACATAATAAACTCAGAGTTAAACTTCAAGTTTTGAAACTGTTTCACTAAAATATAAGAATAAAAACAAACGACTCACGAAGAAACTTGTTACAAAGGAGCATAACACAACCTACTGCCAGCTAATGTTTCAGAAGTGCAGAGCAACACAAACAGCACGCTGAAGTATAAATGCACGGTTATGTGCCAGGCTGGTGCCGTGGGTCACTCCAATCATTCGATGCAGAAGTAAAAACCAGACTTTACCCTAACCCCAACCTAACAGTCCACCTATAATCTATTGAGAATAAGTTGGCATGTAGATGCAATGTAACTGAAATTTAACAAAATGCATTAAAGGGACCATCAAAATTAGGGCTGTGCAATAAATCGAAAATCTGATTTGGATTTTGGCTTCTAACGATTATGAAAATGCATTAATCAAGATAAACGATTATTGCATCATATACCGCCGCTTTTCCAGTTGTACACATTTGTTGCTCTTAAAAGCACGAAAGACCGCATGCTTCTGTGTGTTGGGTGCACGCACAGTCAGAAGCATGCGGTCAGCATTCGTTTTCATTCGCACACTGAGATGAGCAGAGTGCACACATCTAAAGTCATCTTAATGTGAGCATTTTAATGGTCAAATAGAAGTCAAAACACGGTGTTTGGTGATTATTCATATTAACACTCATTTGTGTAATAAACAAATGAGTTGTGAATCAAAAGACATGCGAAAGAGAAACCATTTAAGTGACAGCGCACAATGTTCCTCCTGCCGCCTGTTTCCATCATTATTAATCAAAAAACAAAAGGAGAAAATCCCTCACTGCTCTTGACTGAAGAATTTTGTAGCTAAAGTGTTTTTACTACAGTGAAGATGCTTAAAGCACAGTTTGTTTCATATTTTTATTCTATTGTATTTATTTCTCTTTCCTTTGCAGAGTGAAAAATAACTGTATGCAGTTAAAGTCAGAATTATTAGCCCTCCTGAATATTAGCAGCCCTTTTCCCCCAATTTCTGTTTAATGGAAAGTTTTTTTCAACTTATTTCTGAACATAATAGTTTTAATCACTCATTTCTAATAAATCATTTCTTTTGTCCTTGCTATGATGACAGTACATAATATTTTACTAGATATTTTTCAAACTACAAGCATTCAGATTCAAAGTGCGATTCAAAGGCTTAATTAGGGTAATTAGGCAAGTCATTGTATAACAGTTTCTTCTGCAGATAATCAAAATATATTGCTTAAGTGGGCTAATAATATTGACCTTAAAATAGGATTCAAAATATTTAAACCTGCTTTTATTCTAGCCAAAAATAAATAAATAAATAAGCCGTTCACCAGAAGAAAAAATATTAGAGGAAATGCTGCAAAAATTCCTTGCTCTGTTAAACATCATTTGGGAAATATTTATTTGAAAAAAAAGTTCTCAGGGGCGCTAATAATTTTGACTTCAATTGATAAGTGTTTTGAAAAATCGTGATTACAATTATGACCAAAATAATCGTGATTATGATTTTTCTCAAAATCGAGCAGCTCTAATCAAAATAAAGTGATACAGAGTTTCTCTCTTTTGTTAAACACAATGGAAACTTTTGAAGAGTGTTGAAAACCTGTAACTATTGACTTCTATAGTATTTATGTTTCAAACTATGGAAGTCAATGGTTACATGTTTACATCATTCTTCATAATATCTTCTTTTGTGTTCAAAAAACTCAAAGTTCTGAAACCTTTTGGTAGAATTTTCAACTTTGAGTGAACTATCCCTTTAATAAAAAACACTGTAAGATCAATTTACACCACTAGAGGACACTCACACCCACTGTGCCACCGATTTCTTACCACATTTGTTTACTTTATTCCCTTTCTACACCATTTTATGATTTCTAAAAATGATTTTATTAAAAACCCATTTATGAATTAACCCAATTTACAGCCAATTCAACACAGATTGTACAAGCACTTTCATATTTATCAAATTCATATAAGGATTCCTATTTATCAAATTAATTTCCATGGTATATCCAAACAATGTTCTGCTATTTCAAAGATTTCCCTAATGGTGGCATTAGAAATCAATAATATGGCCTCAAAGAATTGCTCTAAATATGCCAGATGCCGTACGGTGAAATATGTTGGATGCATGAAAATTCCAGATTCCTAGCATTTTAATTCACTTCCCTTATTGCT